CTGCTTTATCGTGCTGCAAGCCGAATTTTTCACTGACTGACTGATTCCCTCATTTTTCAATCATCATTTCAGCTCAACTGATGTGAAAAACTCTACCTATCTGCCTAAATGGACAGATGAAAATACAGTCTACGTGGAAGATCCGGCCTCCAGCTCTCCATCGGCTAACTATCACACTCTCCCTTCTGTTATGATTTCAGTGAGGAACATTAAGTGTTCCTCGAAAAGTAAAAAGCTTCACACTGATAATGGAAAACTTCGTTCGGAAACATAAAGTGTGCACGAGGCAGCTACTCATCCATTTGCAAAATGTTCCTAAATAGCATCCCCCAATCCCCCTGGCTCTATATTTAGCAAGAGAAAATATGGAATGATGTGTGTTCAGCTGGATGCTCTCTTGCTGTGGCAGTTATAAAGATAGGTATGTCAATGTGAGACTAATGGAAAGGCAGAATATCGGATGCACTGCTGTGTCTCTTCCAAGTAAGACACTTGTTAATAGCACAGATATGACAGTAAGTGTTCAGGGTTAAGTGGCCCGCAGGAAAACCTCCGCTGATCCTGGAGGAACCAAAGATGGTCTGGGGTTAAAGGCTAAGTAATCAGTCAGACTTAAAACACTGGATGTCCATTCACACCACAACACCTGTTACAGTTCTGCTTTGGTTATGAACAGTAGTTAGCCGAAAGCAGGTTTCATTTTAGAAGTTATCAGATAATTTAATCCTTCTTGACAACAAAATACTGTGTCATATGTTCTCAGGTTGTTTGAGTTATCAGTTATCAGGGTTTTGTTGCTGAATGCTTTAGACATATCTTAAGCAATTCTGTACTGCAATTTCTTCCAACGCCGATAACTGTAAACCTGATTTTTCAGTCTGGCTCCATTTTATGTGAAATTTGTTGATGCAGAATAGCTACCGCTCCGCTCAGCTCGGTCTTGGCAAGGTGCTGGAAACATCAGTAAGTCCAGATTGGTAGAAAAAGACTTCCGCACACTTACATCTGCGCAGTGTGTCACTTTATTGTTGAGCTTTCAGTCTATTTGACCTTCATTAGAACGTACATGAGGCAATGGACAGGCTGGTAAAAGTAACCAATCTCAGTCTAATCACTGGCTGTATGCAAGACACCTGTGTGCAACCCTGGTGGTAGGAGCTCCACCTCCTGGGAGTTGTAGTTTTTTTGAATACTGTGAATAATGTAAAATTTGTTGACCCACACTTGAAGTCTTAAAACCTGGGTTGGCATCAGGGACACTGCACTTAGTTGGTTTTATTCTTATCTTTTAGAAAGAACCTTTGCGGTCACCATAGGTAATCACTCATCTTCAACAGCTCACATTACCTGTGGTGTACCGCAGGGTTCGATTTTAGGTCCAATTTTATTTTCTATTTATATGCTTCCTCTCGGTCATATCATTCAGCGGCACAATGTCTCTTTTCATTATTATGCGGACGACACACAGATATACCTCCCGCTGAGACCCAGTGACCCCAGAAGCCTAGCTGCTGTCGTAGACTGTATCAAAGATATCAACTGTTGGATGGCACAAAATTTTCTTCAACTCAAAAACTCAAAATCAGAAATTCTGCTGTTCAGTTCCTCAAAATCAATCAGCCTCATCAAAAACAATCTCGGTCCATTATCCTCAAATGTTCAGCCCACAGCCAAAAATCTTGGAGTTATATTTGATTCAGATCTCAGTTTTCAACCCCACATCAAGGAAGTTGTTCAGTCCTGTTTCTATCAGTTACAAATTATTTCAAAAATTAAACCCATGCTTTCACGCCCTGACCTAGAAAAAGTTATCCATGCATTCATCTTCTCCAGACTAGACTACTGTAACTCCCTCCTTCAACCATAAATCACTCTCCCGCCTCCAACTAGTTCAAAACGCAGCAGCTAGGCTTCTCACTGGTTTTAACAGACGACATCACATCACTCCTATTCTTGCTTCCCTTCATTGGCTCCCTGTCTGTTTTAGAATTGATTTTAAGATTTTACTGATCACTTTTAAAGCACGTCTGGGTCTGGCCCCTAGCTATATAACAGATATGTTGACCCCATATGAGCCTGTGCGCAGCCTTAGATCCTCAGGCAGGGGCCTTTTGGTTGTTCCAGAGTAGAGGCTGAAGTCTAAGGGTGACCGAGCTTTTTCCATCAGGGCCCCTCGGCTTTGGAACGACCTGCCCAAGGATCAAAGGTTTGCAGAATCAGTGACTTCTTTTAAAACACTTCTTAAAACCCATTTTTATAGACTTGCTTTTATGTGATGTCGTCGTTCCCCTCTTTTTCTTGTATTGTTTATTTATTAGTGTTTTAGTTGTATTGCATTTACTTATTTTATTCCCTTTGCTGTTTTCTCCTGTACTCCTTGCTGCTACCTTATTGCTGCCATGTTGTATATGTCTGCCTCTGCTATATTGTGTGTTGTTGCTGTATTACCTGCTGCTGTAATATTGTTGATTGTACTGATTTTGCTTTGTTTGTCAAAGCACTTTGTAAACTTTGTTTTTAAAAGGTGCTATATAAATAAAGTTATTATTATTATTATTATTATTAAGTAAATGATGAGATCCTTGTAAACAATATAACTCTTGTTAGGGTGCTACATGAATCTCTTTAGAGTAGGTTAGTGGGTCAGTGTCACATCTGTGTCCCTTGAGAATCCCTTAAGGTGTTTGCAGAATGGCACTGCCAAATGTAATGTCTCAAACAGCTATTCAGCACCAGCCTTTCTCTCCTCAAGTATCAAACATGGCACCTGAGCAGTTGCCTCTCCATCTTCCCTTAACCTGCCTTATCTGCACTATTGTTAAGCAATATCAAATTCCAGAGCCAGACTTCCCTTTGTCTGGGAGGAGAGGACAAGAAAGGGCCAGGAAGGGTGACTGTATCTGTTTTGGGGAGGACAAGGAAATAGCAGGCAGGGAGGCTGTTTTCTGTAATGTGGGGACAAGGAAAGGGCAGGCTGAAAGACAGAGAGAATGGGAGACGAGCAGACAGGGACAGACATTGTCTAGCAGGAGAGTACAAGTGAAGGGCATGCAGAGGAGACACTGTCTGAATAGAGAGGGCAGGGGAAGGGCAGTCTGTTGTACGATGGTGGCATTTCCAGTACAACATACACAGAGAAGTAAAAAGGGAAAGGTCAGGGAATGTGGTGAGAGAGAGGGAGAAACAGGAGGGGGATCAATGAGACGACATACCTAAAAGCAACGGAAGCAGTGAAAGGAAGTGGACAAGGGCAGTAGAGTGCTCAACAGTCACTCAGACATAAAAAATATTGATCTGACCTTTGACATGAGACTGTCTGGCAAATGTGTGAGTCTCAGACAAGCTTAAGATCGAAGTGACACATATCTTTGTAACACAACATCTAAAATCATAATTTAACCAACAAGGTCATGAGAGAAAAACTATATTTAAATGAGTGTCCATTCTTATGTACACTAGACCACACCCTGCCAACCTCCTTAACTGTGTCCTTGGTGCGATCAGGAGATTAAGGACACTCTGATCACTGTACGTCTGAGAGGTGCAACTTCAACTGTGTTTGTCTTTAAGTGCCTGTCGGATTGTGGAGTTTGTCTTTCTTCAAATGCAAGGTTTAAATGTGAGGTCATCACTGTACCATATCACCCAATTTCACTCTAGGCTTTCGTGTGTGTGCGTGCGGATGTGCAGGACTCTGAGGCTTTTGAGTATTCAAAAAATTAAACACACCAGTCTTAACCTCAAACAAAAATCTATTTCCTATTTCCTAACACGAATAAAAAACAAAGTAGGGCAGCTAAATAGGTCCCACCACAGGTCTCTATAACCTTTGTGGAAAAAAACAACTTGGCCCCCTTTTGCAGCCATCATAATGATGTTACATCACCATGACAACAATGTGCGTCGTTCCATATTGTCCAGTTATCTCCACGGTAACTGCCTCCGACTGCCAAATAATCTGGACCTGAGCGTTAAATGGCTCGTATGGAAACACAAAGACAACCGGGGTGCATGCAGTGCATAAAGGAGCACGGGGTGTGGCACGTAGCTGTAAAGTCAAACTTATTCTGTTGGACTTCAATTGGTTTCTAATATGAATCCCCACACATTCATGTATGAATAAATGCATCAGCTGTAGGGGATAGTGACTGTAAATCCAGCGGCTTTTGTTACCTGTGTAACTTGCGCGCGGACAACAAAGAGCGACCTCAATAACGCACTAATAACCTCTCCGTTATGATATGAACGTACAGCCTACATGGCACCGCCAGTTACCACGCGCTGCAAGATTTCACTCACAATAAACAATTGACACAATATGTTTCAGCATCCGACGCGTGACGTCTGCGCATTCATCCACTTGTGCGCCCCTCAACCTGTGGATCATCAGATGGAGCGGAGAAACAAGCCATCATGCGCCTTGTGATCTTCCCTCCCAGTGTAACCGTTTATAATACAAGAGCAGTGACATCACATACGACATCTGATATTTGGGTTTCAACTTGCTCCCACAAGGCTGACGATATCATTAAGTCAATCGGTCGCGCTCCTGTTTTTTTGAGGCTTTATTGATCCACATTTACAAACGGGATATGTGTGTTTTTTCTGCCGCGCAACCATGAAGGTTACAGTGATCAGTGCCAGCAGACACACCCTCATTCTGAAGCGCTGATAAACAACAAGCAGCGTTGTACTAAACGTCATCCCTGCAAGTTAATGAGAGCACGTCCAGCATTGTGTGTAACAGTGCAAACACCACACATGCTGGCGTAAAATAATCTCACCTGGAAATATGCGTTATTCACTGAAAATCCTATAAATAAAACGAACTAATGTGTCCTGAAAAATACTTATATCATAATTAATTATAACCACATTTGCACCCCCTTCCAATCCATCTTTCATGGCTATCGTGACCCCTCCTGACTCTCATTTTTCCCCGACAATAAAACAGCAATAACACCATCTAAGACATCAAATATGCGCGCTTGTCAACTTACCACTTGTTCCTCCAGCGGACCGTTTGCCAAACAAACTGATATCCACCCTGAAAAATCAATCAGCTTGTCTCACAAGGTTTTTTGTTCCAAATATTCTCATCTGTCAATATGTGCACACTGCTCACATCTACTTGTCCTGGAAAAAATAGATGTGATGGATAACAATGTGACTCCTGTAATGACTGCTTATTCAGTGCGCTGAACCCTCTCTGTTGCTCTGTCTCTTCTCTCCCTCCCTCTCTATCTCACTCACACACTCACACACACACACACACACACACCCATCATAGACCCCCAGCATAATGCGTGATTGACAGCTTGTGATGGATCACCTCCATCATAAGGATTTGAATTGATCTTTATTTAAAGTATGCTAATGCTCAGTGATCCCACACATTAGACAAACAGAAAAAAAAATCTGTTACACAAAACGACCAATGCACGGAAATATGAAACACAGCCAACACACACACACACACACACACATTCAATGTCAGAAGAACAATTTCTAAGAAATTTCACAGTGTGAGTATAAGGAGCAGTTCAGGTGCACAGGCAGAGTGCCAGCTCAACAGGACAGTTACACTTAGTTATTTTCTTTACAAATACATAAAGTCGTAATATGGTAAACAATAGCGAGCATTAAAGCCTGAGATGTGTCCCTGAGGAAAACAAAACACACCTCTACAATCAATAATCATTCATAAAGGGCATCATTCCCAGTGAAGATCACAGCAGAGTGGACTGTGTCATTGGCACAGAACACATGAGAAGGGCCAGCCATCTTTAAAGCTTGCTTAACATGTAGGTGAACATGAGTATACTGTATGACCGAGACACCAAGAGGCAGAAGAATAAAATCGAGAATGCAAGAATGAAGTTCAATACATCGATTGGAGTGTATCAATAATCAGGTTCAGGTAATACACATGACAGATGTGTGACAGAGGATGAATGTGGATGATGCAGACCGTCAAGACAGAAGTCCAAGTGTTCACAGTGTGAATTGTATCATGCTGCCCCTTTGCCAAGCAAGCAAACATTCATGCGCCTGTCTAAAGTATCATCTCATCAGTTCATCCTTCTATGTGTAAATCCATCTCTCTACTTCATAGTGCAGGGCTTTTTGGGGAAGGGAGGGTGGGCAGCAAAGGGACATCACGGCTTCTCTTGCTGTGGAAGGCAAAGGAGATGAGGAGGTGAAAACCTGTGGCCTAAATCTAAATATATCTTAAATATTTGCATGTCAAACACACCTTATTGCATTGTTTATTCAGTTTTTGTGCTGCATCCATTCTTACCTGCGTATTACTGTAGATCCAGGGCAGAACACTGCTGACTTTGGTGTAAATGCCAGGCTTATATTCTGCACCACAGCCTTCTCCCCAGCTGGTGATCCCCACCAGGTACCAAAGTTTCTCTCCCTTACACACCAGAGGTCCACCACTGTCACCCTGGAAAATATAGTTCATACAAGCAAGGTTGCTGAGTGCTGAAGGCACAATACATATTCATCTGTGAACCTGTCCCTTGATATGGACTGCTCACCTGACAGGAGTCTCTGCCTCCGCTCAGGTCCCCGGCACAGAGCATGTTCCGAGTCACGGAGCCTCTATACCCTTGGCGGCCGTTACATGTCTGTGTGCTAATGATGTCCACAGTCACTTCCATCAGATCATTGGAGACAGTGCCTGTATTGGAGAAAACAATATGCTCATTTATTCTTCTGACAAGGCTCTAAAATGTGTCATAAATAATGGCTGAATAATTGTAAAACTTTACATTGAACTTAAAGGTACACTATGCAGCTACTGTTTGTAAACAAGCTTGCCAGCAAAAGTGAAAGTAAAAGCCAAACCCAGATTCAATCTTTTCTCTATTTGCAGGTTTTTGGGGGGCATGGTGTCTCTTGAATGCCTGCTGATTATAGTCTGGCACCTGCTTGCTATCTATTTATAAGACACAACCTCACCTGAGTGCTGCCGGGAGACACACCCATAAACATCTTGTATTTAATAAGATGGAAAAGTATAATTCAAGAAGTAAAATTCATGGAGAAAGTGAGAAAGTGACAAACAAAATAAGGAATAGGGAAGATGTGTTTGAGAAAATGGGGCTTATAGAAGATGGGAGACTGTAACTATACAGCCATTGTGTTTAATGTATAAAAATATATTTTTATTCACTTAGTTTCCCTTTAACTCTGATCGGAAATTTTCTTTGTAATGAACTGTAAACTAAAAAGGAAATAAGCTGTATATATGAAAATGGGCTTGAAAAAATAAAGTATAAAAAGAATGAATAAATTAACGCCCTAAACACAGAAAATAAAATGATTATACACTTCTAGTAGCTCCTGAGTGATGACTGAGAGGGATAACTTCTGTGGGAGTCTATACATTGACCTTTAGGAAAATCCTGCACAGTGTACCTTTAAGAATAGGTTAAGTTGATTGATAAATATATGCGCTGCCATGGCAACAGCTATGCTCACCCCATCTCACACTGTCTATACTGAAACAAGTTATACACGCACATCCTTATCTGCAGAGAAAGACTCAGTTTTTGATTGTGCAGAAAAAATAAAATATGCATGTGAGCTCTGATGTGGTTTAACTTTACTTATTTATTTATTTATTTATCAATTTTTACTCGTCCTTACTCTGTATGCACCTTAACAATTTTTTCACAATTATTTGAGTACTCTGCATGGCCAGATACAACCATATATATTCCAGTTAATGTGTGAGAAAATGGACGCCACAGTCATGTGGTGGTTAGCACTGTTGTCGCACAGCAAGAGGGTTCCTGGTTTGATCCCAGGAGGGAGCCCTTCTATGCGGAGTCTGCATGTTCTCCTTGTCAGCATGGGTTTTCTCCGGGTACTCCGGCTTCCTCCCACAGTCCAAAGACATGCAGGTTAATTGGTGACTCTGAATTATCCGTAGGTGTGAATGTGAGTGTGAATGGTTGTCTGTCTCTATGTGTCAGCCCTGTGATAGTCTGGTGACCTGTCCAGGGTGTACCCTGCCTCTCACCCAATGTCAGCTGGGATAGGCTCCAGCCCCCCCGCGACCCTCAAGAGGATAACGATTACGAAAATGGATGGATGGATGGATGGATGGATGGATGTGAGAAAATGGCGGTTAAGTATCCCTGCACCCAAAACTAACCTCTCAAAACATACAGTTACGCACAGGGCTTCTGTAGAATTGAACAGGTTATCTAACAGTCGTAGAAAATCATGAAGGACCTACACTTTTTAAGAAATAAATGCAGTTGTACCTAAGGCAGACCACATGACTGAATACGCATGTCTCTTTCTGCTACAGCGGAAGCTAATGGGTAGCCGATAAAATAAACCACAACCCTTATTATATAATTTGTTACATCTCTAGTATGCTCAGTGGCTCCAAATCCAAGCTTACCTGATCCTGCTTCAGTGGTGCCAAAACCTGAGGTCCAGCACTGGGTGCCAGGGGGAAACTGCTGGTCAAAAGCTGGCAGACAAACTGGCTGGACTTTGTCTGGATAACACAAGAAGACATATTTGACTTTTGGAAACACACACACACACACACACACACACACACACACACACACACACTCACTCACAAACAGTGGGCTGGGCAAATCAGATTACCAGTATGACTGTGTATTCAGCACAGACTTTTAAAGCTCCAACTCAATAGGAGAAAAAGGGCAGTCACTGCCCTGAGTAGTGGTTTTACCCTATGACACAATGTTAGTTTTTGGTCTGTGTTTCATAAACAGAAACATTTTTATTTACATTATTCATTTGTGGCTTTTATTGCCTTGTTAAGGAGCAGCCAAAGAGTGATACGAAAAGGCGAGGGAGAAGGGATGACATGCAGCAAAGGAAACACACAGGCTCTTGAACCAGTCTGCAAAAGGACTCTTTTTCAAGCCATCCAGTCACCCACCAGCCCACACTACACACTGCATATGAACACATACTGTACTTCCTCTCAACATAAACAGCTCATTTTGCATTTCCTGATTCTTCTCTTGCTGCATGGAGGTCAGATTTCCACCATGAGAGCTAACAACGCGCAGATGTAAGGACCAAATTCTGACTGCAGCCTCAGGTATGAAAGTAGGATGATCATCAACATTATTTTAAGTGAAGATGTGACTGACCGTTGAAAACAACTGGAGATGTGAGTTTGAGCAGAGCAATATCAAAGTCATTAGTCCTGCTGTCGTAGTTGTTATTGAGTATGATCTTCTTAACCAGGTAGGGCTGAGGTAGGTTCTGAAGATTCACCGCTCCACCATACACTCTCCAACTCCCTGGCAAGAGACTTGAAGGTTTTTCTCTGCGACACAAGAAAGGACTATTTAGTGACAAGCAATGGGATCACATCAAATGGAATTGGTGCTTATATTTTCAGCATAGAAGACTTTAAAGTACAGAAAAAACATGAATCAGAAGCTGTGGAAAATACACCAAGGCAGTCAGTTACTTTGGGAAGCAGTGGGCAGCGGTCAGCACAAAATCAGGAGAGATCAGGACTCCTCCGCAGACGTGGGATCCTCTGTAGTGCAGTGACAACTGCCAAGGCCACTGACCTGTCTTGGCTATGCTGCCCCCGATGATGCGGGACGTAGACTGCTGCCGACCGCAGTCTAAGAACAGGAGACAACGTGTGATACAGTATAACAGGCAGGGAAGCAGTTGAAACATCCTTTACATAAGGCTGAAAGATGATTCAGTATTATGGTTTGGTGAGTTTCGATGAAACTGTGGTGATAGAATGCTGCCTTGTGTTCCTGTTTTACAAAAATAACAAAACAAGTTACTAGTTTCTTGCATACGCATGCAACGTGACACATGCTAACAGTTAAATACAGTTCATTGCACTGAGCATCAATGTGTTTTTAGTATTTATTTTACATATTTCAGCCTGTCAACAGGAAATAGATTATTATGCAAATATGTACAGTGCTGATATTTGCTGTCAAGGCTCTGACCTCATCACGCCCCACAAAGACACACCAAGCTCAAAGCAGCAGGGAGTAGGGAGTGATGGTGATAACTTTCCCCGTATGGAAAGGTAGACTCAGAGCCTACAGATGGATGCCGAGGTTTATGAAATATTTTAGTACATGAACCACACTAGTCGTGGAAACTGTCAGCGTAGTTTTCAGGTAAGCAAGATGCCAGTGAAAGAGTTGGGCTTAGATAAACATGACTGAAAGGGTG